CGGCTCCACACCCGCCGGCGCAGCCCCGCCACGAGACTCTGACAGCCGCGCGGCCCGCGCGGCTCCGGCACCCCGGGACTGACCGACCGCGGCGGCGGCGGCGAAGGAGGACGCGAGGGTCGCGGCCCGGCGCCAAGTGCGGGAGGGCGGGCCGGTCCGGCGGCGCCCAGAGAGGTGAGTGGCTTCGCGCGCCGGGCTCCGGCACCGGCTGTGAGGGTCGCGCTCTCCCCCGCACCTTGGCTGCTGAGGCGGGTCGGGGGGTCGCGGGGCTCCCCGGAGGGTGGCCGCGCGTCGCCAACGCCGGAAAGCGATATCCGGGGCTGCCGCTTAGCAGGCCGGAGGTCCGCGCGCCCCGGGGCTCCGGCGTGGGCAGGGGCGCCCCCAGCGAGGCGGGCAGGAGGCGGGGGGCTGCGGTGGCTATTCAGGGGCTCCGTGCGGCAGCCATGCAACGGGAGGAGGCGGGAGGAGGGGAGGAGGAGGGGAGAGCCCGCGGAGAGCGAGCCAGCGAGCGGGCGCCGCGCCTCCTGGCTGGCACCGCGGCCCGGAGCGAAGTGGCGCGCGGGGCTGGAAGGCAACTTCTGCGGGCGCGTGCGGCCCGGGGCTCGGCGGCGCGTCCCGGCCCGGGGAGGGAGGGCCTGTCGGCAGCCACAGGTGGTTCCTGCCAAAAGTTTTACCGCGCTTGTCTCGGGAAGGCGCGGGGCAATTTTGGAGAGTGACGTTTTCCCGAGACGTTGGCATCCGCACCTCACACTGTCTTATCTTGAACATTAGAAAAAAGGGGCTGGGAAGTCTGGGATCCCGCATCTCGCGTTGCGGCTCCGGGGTCTCGCGGCGGTCCCTCCCGGAGGTGGCGCCCTTGCGGGCCCCTGATGCTGCTGTCCGGTTGGGAAGTTGCGGGGAAATGGGCGCAAGCATACGGGATCTTCGGTGCCTCGGGAAAGTGAAGCCGAGGCTAACCTGTCGTCCGCACAGGGCAGCGCAGGGGTCTCATCCTAGGGACCGCGCGCGCTTCTCCGCTCGTTGGTGCGCGCATCTCCCGCTCCTTGGAAAGCGAATTGTATCCGGCCGCCGTGCTGCTTTGTTATTCCGGCTGGTTGTTTGATTTCATTAGGAGGTGGGCCAGAAGGTGCCCAAGAAAAGCGATGCGGCAGCAACTCTCATGTCCTTTGAAACCAGCCGCCGAGGCTGTTATCCAAGTCCAGGCAGCGAGGGTCCAGGCCGAAGGTAGCCTGGAGTCAGGGGTGTGTGTTGCCTGCCCGCAGAGCTTCTCAAGGCTAGGGCTGGTGTTTCTGGGGTACCTGGGACAGAAAGAGGGAAGGGGGGGAGGAGAAAAGCCCCCTCAGAAGGAGAAGATGTGTGGTGTGGTGCGCTCTGGGAGAGGGTACCCGAGGAGCACAGGTTTTCGAACCCCCCCTCGCCCCGCCTCTTTTTTTTTTTGGCCAGAGTGACGAATCCAGGGCAGCGAGGTTAGAATCGCCCCGGTAGGTCCGTCCTGGGCTGAAAGAAATCATTTTCTTGGTTGTGGGTTTGATACCCGGCTGTTGCAAGTCGGCACAGAGCTCCGTGAGAGCTGGAAACACTCAGTCCTTCATTCTGGCTGGGCCTGCTTCCACTTCCTATTCCCCCACCCAGCAAGTACCTGAGCAGAAAGCGTGCCCTTCGCTTGAAAGAAGGTCACAGAATTTTGGAGCTGAAAGAGACCCTAGGTATTAGGAGTGCTAATTTTACAGATGAGCAAACTCCAGGCCCAAGGAAGGAAAGCGACCTGCCACGGTGGTTAGAGGCCTACGGAGACTAGAATTGACATCAGCCTCCCAGGCCAGGGTGGAGAGAGTTCTCTCAGCAAAGACCTTGAACGGCCTGAGGTCAGAAACGCCACCCCCACACCCAAACCCATCAAGGGCTCATTATCTGGTACTTCCTATGTCCATGCTTGCCAGTGAATGTGGTATACTTACAGTTCTCTGCGCTTGGCTTAAAAAAATAAAAATCAGGACAGTCACTGCAGATTTCAGTCTGACACTATCCCAACTTTTCCTGCTCCCTCCTCACCCCAAATTCCTCAGACTCCTTTTGTAACATAATGTGGCTTGATTAGCCAAGATGAGCTTGCAGCTTGTCTCACTGTGAAGCACCCACTTTCTGTAGAATGCCAGAACTCTGTTTTCCTGGTAATTAGGTTTTACAGATATTTTTGAAAGGGAGCCCAATTCTGGATCAATTAACTTGGACACAATTGCTGTGCTGTTGTGGATACCAAATGAGAAAGATGAGCAATTATCTGGGGGTGTTGGAATAAATGTTGTTGTGAGTATTTGACACAGCTATTAGACATCAATGAGTGGGTTTTCAGTAAATGTTTTTTATGCTCTATTTTATTGAGCAAAACAAAGTGTCTTAATTAAAAAGACCTGGGAGTTGGCCACTTAGATTTTAGCCACTTGTTTCTTACCACTGTGTAGGGGTGGGAAGGATTTGAATGGTAAACAGAATGACTGTTCAGAGAACTTTCTCCCCCCAAATCAAAACATCCTAGGGCAATGCTTATCCTTCAATGTATAATGTCACGTACAGTCCAGCAGAATCATATTAAATCAAAATAGGTCTGGGTGCGGTATGTGTCAATCTGTATTAGTCAGAAATGACTTGTAAGAAAGTTTTACTGCTTTCAGGGGCATCCAGTATCAAGAATTCAATGCTAATGCAATGTCTCTGAGTATAATTCTTCCGCTCTTATGAACAGATAAGAGTCAATGTCCCCATAGTTGTGCTTGGGGCTCCTGTAGAAGAAACCAAGATCTGGTACCATAATGATACACAATGTTACATTTTGACACACACCTTTTCATTTTCATCTCAGGCTAATCTCATCAGCATCCCTAAGTGGCACATAGTTCAGCGATTGGTCCATGTTACAGATGGGGAAACTGAGGCAGGGAGCCGGGGGTGTGTTATTTCTATAACTTCATTCAGTGCAGCTTGGGGTTTCTGGGCTGACCAGGGAGTAAGAGGCCTCCTAAAAATATTGCCTCTTATTCCTCTCCAGAACCATACCTACAGAGGAGTATAGAGGGGTTACAATTACACTTCCTGGGAGGCCAGTCATTCTGATGGGGGCCTGAAGGACTTTGTTGCCCACCCCCCCTGCTGTGGGTGAGTAGTTTTCTTCCCTCTTATAGCAGGCTGTGGGAACTTGGGCGAGGAGGGACCAGCTGGCTGGGGCTGGGGCGGGGGTGTGGGATCTGTGTCTATGTAGGGCTGAAGGAGTCCAGGCTATTTATAACCCTTCCTCCCCTCCTGGGAAGAAGAGACTCAAGGGTCTGGAACCATCCCTGTTGCTGACTTCTCCCCAGGATGGCTGAGCCCCACTGGAAAAAAACTTGCCACCCAGCTGCATGGTGGGTTTTGGAGTGAGCCCTGACAGGTGTGGTGGGTCCTGCAGGGCTTCTTGGAAGTTCAGTTGCTCCGGCAGATTTAGGATACGAGGATTTCCAAGAGCCAGTATGCACTTTTCCTTAGGCACAGACCCCGCCCCCCCGCAACCCCCCAGACACCCCAGAAACCTCACAGGGCAGAACTGAAGAACCTGCTAAAGTGGGGCTAATTGGATTTTTCTGAATAATGACAACAATGATTTTTATGCAGGAGGAGATTCTGGAAGTGATACATGTGATGCGGTTCTTCTGACTGTGCCCTGGGGCATTTCTGTGTGGCACTGGTTACGGAGGTTTGAGGCATGTGTCTCAAGTTCTTTCCCTCTTTCCCCACCCCTACCCCAGACCCGTTCCTGATGGATTCCCTTGCCTTCCCAACTCTGCAAAACAACACCAAAGTCCTTCTTTGTCATCGAATAAATAGTACCTGCCACCCCACTGGTTACACCTTCATTCCTGAGACTGGGCATAGATTCTCCCTGGGTTGGTGGAGGGAGGAATGGGGAGGGGGGGTGGGCGGAGGAAGCAGGCAAGGCACTGAGCTCGTCTCTCTGTTTAGCCTCCTTGGAGTGAATTAATACGCCTACCAAAACCATTTCAGAGGCTCACAGCAGGTTTTACCAGAGACAGAAGACTTAAGCGGCGGCCCTACATGGAGAAGTGGGCTCTGGGCAGCTCCTGCCCAAGGGTGATGCCTGGTGAGCCTGGCACACACAGGCTTTGCCTGCTGGAGCTTTTGAGGGCAGGGCTTGTATGTTGCTCATTTTCACATCCTCAGCACCCAGCCCAAGGTCTGGGCACAGAAACTGTTTGCTGAACGAATGCTGAGGGCTGGACATGGGTGGATGGGTAGATGGCAGTCGGGTTTGCTTCCTCATTGTCATCAGCTGTGCTGCTTGGCACTGTGAAGGGGGTATCCGGAGGGCAAGGACAGAAAAGCAGAATGTGGATGAGAAGAGACAGGGTTCCACAGGCATTTTGAGAGCCCTGGGACAAGCTGATTGGCCACTCCACACCACCAGAGATGCTGGGAGCACCCAGTCATCGATTCGACTGGCAGTGATGAAGACTTTTTCTGTGGGCTGACACAGCACAATCCAGCCTCACAGGGCATGCAGAGTGAGTGTCTTTTAGGAAGGCAGATAAGCCGCTCCTTTTCTTACCCTCCTGTGGGTACTCTGGGGGCTGGCCCCTGCCTGCTTCTCTGACGCCTCTCCACTCCCTGTGCTCCACCCTCTCGGATCTTTTTGTTCCTTGAACACACCAAGTTCATGGGTTTCTCCTTGGCTGTCTTCCTTGTTCAGAAAGCCCTTCTCTCAGTTCTTTTCCCAGCTGGCTTCTCCTTGTCATCTAGCTCTCAACCAAAACAGCACCCTGGAATATATTCTTCATAGCACTCAACTCCATTTGGGATAAAAAAAATCTTGATTTTCTTCTTATCGATTGCTTGTCTCTCCCACTAGAATGTAAGCTCCATGAGGGCAGGGACCTTGCCTGTTTTGCTCCCCATGGTCTCTTCAACACTGGAACAGTGCCTGGCAGGCTGAAGTGCCGGAGGAAATAGCTGGTGACTGGCTATGCCAATGAGTGCTAGAGGGCATATGAAGATGAGTCAGCCAGGGGCCCTGCCCTCAGGACCACTTCAGTCTAGAGGCGGGAACAGAACTTGATATGTAGCAAGAAGAGAACGTGGCATTCAAGAGGTACAGCCCAGGAGGGTCTCAAGTGGTGCTAGCCCTGCTTCCACAATGCTGGTTGGCTTAGGCAGAGGGGTCTTCTTTCAAATGTGGTATTAGGAGTTGGGGAGCTCTGGCAGCTGACTCACCTCCAGGACTGAGGTTCCTCTAGCATGCTTGGCTGCTCTCTCTCTCTCTCTCTCTCTCTCTCTCTCTCTCTGCATTTATTTACTTCTTTGGTGAGCAAGAGTTCCAAGCATAATGCCATCCTTGGAGAGTCAGGAATGTTGTGTTTTTCCACCAGCTCCATTCATTCGCGGCCTCCTCAGCACAGCTGTGGACAGCTGGCTGCCAGCGTGGATGTAGGGAGGGCTTCTCTCCAGGGCCAAGGGGCACACTCAGCCCTGCAGGAATGGGGAATTTCATTTGTTTCACACCCTGCTGATTTCCAAACCCCACTGAAATGGTGCCTGTAAAAACAGATTCATGAGGAAATTAAAAAACTATTAGCATCCAGTTTACTGCTTATTTTCTGATTGTAAAAGCAATCAGAGTTACGACAGAAAATTTGGAAAATATGGAAAGGTGTAAAATTAAAACAAAAACCTGCTACGACATCCTAATTTTGGTATATTTCCTTCCAGCCTTTTTTTCTGTACCCACAAACACACACGTGTGCATGCACACACGTATACACATTGCACACATGTACATATAGTTAGAATTAAACATTCTTTTCTAAAACTTTTTAAACCTGTGCCATCTTTTAATAAACAGAAAGTTTTTTTCTTTTTTTCCCCTCTGGGAGCCTGAGACATTCTTACTATGAATCACTGATATTTGGAAGAAAATGTGTTTTCCACTGTCTCCTTGCTGGCTGAGATTTCAGTGAGCTTTACCTTCTGTAGTTTGAATTAGGAAAACAGGCTCCCCACCCCTTCTATCCCCAACACACCAGGATGTGCCTAGAATCATACTTCTCACTCCTCACCTCTCCCCATCACTGGTATATGGTGTGGCAAGCTGTCCCCTCACTGAGCATTCTATCACATTTACCAATGCTGTAATGTTCTTTAGAAACATATTTTAATGGATGTGTGGCGTCCCTTCAAGTAATGTATCATAGTTTATTTAACCATTACAGAGAAACCTCCAGGGCCCATTAACTAATTATTTCTTGACCTAAAAATAAGAACAGCAGGAAACTCTCCAGAAATATGGATCAGTGTTTAGGGCATCACCATTTGGGAACAGTCTTGGCTCCTTCAGGAGACCAGGGACTTTGTTGCTGTCACTTCAGTGCCCAGGGTTTAGAAGAATGCCCGGCATGCAGTAGTAGGGGCTCAGGAAACAGTTTGCTAAATGAATGAAATACAGAATCCTTCTCGTGGCGGGGGGGGGGGGGGGCTGAGACTCTGATTAAGCTCATTGACATCAAGGCCTGTTTTGGGAGTGCATTTGGCTGGGGAAGAGGAGCAGGGCTCTGGAGGTGAAGGGGTGAGGAAGATCATTACGTCCTGGGAAGCAGAACAGGAAAGGGGCAGCATGGAGAAGCAGTTCTCTGACTTACTAGTTTCCTGGGGCTTTGGAGGAGGTGAGGTTTTGGTAGAGCCTTGATACAGGGACTAGAGGTGCTTCCCTCCCTGAGACAGGAACTAGAGAGCACCCAGGCAGGAGGGGCCTCCGAGTCAAGAGAGCGAGGACTGGCTTGCCAGCCAGGACGAAGGGATACAGCTCAGCCAGGGGATGGCAGGAGATGGAGACCCTTCAAACTGGAGCTCCTCAGGATCCCAGGACCTAGTCCCAGGGGAGGATGGATCCTTGGAGATCATGGGCCCCACCTGCCTCCAGGCATCATCTCCATACTGCAGAGGGGGAAACGGAGGCATCGAGAAGATAACGGGTGATGAGGATCATGGGTTTGATCACTGATCAGACCTGAATCCGATGGCGTGGCTACTTTTCTGTGGTCACCTTGGGAATGTTACTCAACCTCTCTAAACTTCGGTTTCCTCATCTAGAAAACGGTGAACACCAACTTTGTAGGGCAGTTGGGAAAATGAGATGAGGCATCACACACAAAGCAGCCAGCACAGCGCCTGACAAAGGATGAAGTGTGCAGACATGAAGCCTCTATTGTTTATGTGTTTTGTGAATTTCTATTCCTAACCTGAAGAGAGAGGTGAGAGAACACCAAGGTTTAGAGCTGAAAGTCAATATCCAAGACTTTGTTTTCCTCTTCCTCCTCCCCAAGCAACCACCATACTTACTTCAGGGACTAAAAATCCAGTCTGCAAGAAAGATGACTGTTGGGAAGCCACTGCTCACATGTGGGTAGAATTAATGTCACTCAAGGGGTGAGGGGTGCTCGCGTCCCTCTCTCCTTTGTTACCTCCCATGGAAGGAGAGATACACATCTTAAAATCATCCTGAGGTGCCAGAGTCTCAATCTAGATGGCAGTGGCAGGGGCACACCATTTACTCAGCTCCTGGGCGTGGTTGGTCTTTAGAATAAAGAATGTCTGGCCATACAGAGAACAGGACATGGGACAGGACAGTTGTTGTGTGTTTTTTTTAACTTTATTGGGGAACAATGTGTTTTTTCCAGGACCCATCAGCTCCAAGTCATGTTGTTGTCCTTCAGTCTTAGTTGTAGAGGGTGCAGCTCAGCTCCAAGTCCAGTTGCCGTTTTCAATCTAGTTGTGGGGGGCACAGCCCACCATCCCATGTGGGAGTCGAACCAGCAACCTTGTTGTTAAGAGCACACGCTCTTCCCATCTGAGCCATCCGGCTACCAGTCGGCAGCTCAGTTCAAGTTGTTGTCTTCGATCTAGTTGCAGAGGGCGCAGCTCACTGGCCCATGTGGGAATTGAACCGGCAACCCTATTGCTCAGAGCATGCACTCTAACCAACTGAGCCACCCAGCTGCCCAGTTTTGCTGAACTGAATTTCTGGAAACTGAATAGGTAAGCAACACATGACCTGGAATAGAAAGCCTAGTGAAAATGTAATGTGAGTCATCCAGGTAATTAAAAATTTTCTA